AAATTTCGAGTATGTGAATGATCTCGGATCAAGCTTTCGTTTAGCATACTTTCTGTCATCTCTTTCTGTTCAGAATCGACCTCCCAGAAGGCAAACCGTGGAAGAAACACGGAAATCACAAGAAGCGGGAAAAGCTGCGAAGAGTTTACGGTCATTTGGATGCCTAATTCTTGTGCCTTTTGTAGCTCTGATCTTGCCTTGAAGGGCAAAATGAACGATCGTGTGATGGGGATTTTTTTTTTCTTGGAATTTGTTTTCACTTGTTCTGTTACCAGTACGTTCTAAATTTTGATGCGCAACCTCCCCTTTTTTAACTTCCTGAAAAATGACGGCATTAAGGAAGAGACGAACACAAAGGTCTAATTCCTATGAAAATAATAGCATTTTTGACAACATTCAGGCATAAAGCCAACACACAAACAACTACAGTACTGGGGAAAGCCTCGTGTTTTCCAACCGATGGCCGATTCGAAAGACGTGGTTGTGGAAAAACGGAAAACTGATGAAGCTCATCCGTTCAACATCAATGCATTCATGGATAAACACATGCATAAAATCAAGGTAATATTTCCTAATTTCCGATTTAAAAAAAAATCGAAGCTAACAGAATTGTGTGCGTATTCTCGTGCAGATTCTCCTGACATGGGGTCTTGGTGCTGCTGGTGTGGTTGTCATAGCTAGCAGTCTGAAAATGGTGAGTCTTTCTTTGTTTTGTTTTTTTATGGAGAAATGACCGATCATGTGAAAGTGTGATTTTGATTGTAATCATGCTGAAGATATTTTTAAAATTGTCATCTTGAAGTGAGCAGCCTGTTTTGGAGTACTGTACCTTAAATGGATCGAGTGTTTTCCTGAGGTTCTTGATTAAATTCATTTTCGAGTAACAGTCGAATTTCTGGAAAAAGAGCAGCAAATCAATGACTTTTTCATGCACTAGATATTTTTTGAACGTGTGATATTTTGTCCCAAGAAAGGAAGAACGAGAAGAACGATTAAGATAGCATTAAATCCCGGGTCTTGATGTTTGCACTTCATCCTTGGTGCAGTTTCTTCGCTAAAATGTTCACTGTACATCATAATGTCGCTACAATGAAGCTCTGGGGACATGGAAAAATCATTCGTCATGTCAAAACATTCGTTATAATGCGCCTAAAATAGGACCTCGAGATTTGTGTCAGGTGATGTCATTAATTTAACGAGATTCATTGTAACGAAATGTTATTTTATTTCGTAGACTGACTAAGCTCTTTCGATTTCCAGGATGTTTTTGATTAATTTTTTGTTTAATATTTCAGATGACCAAGTTCACTACTCGAAAGTCCGTGCCTCAAGAATTCATCGACAAAGGATTCACGTTGTTCGGAAGGGTCAATTCCTTTTCCATCATTCACTCGAGAGACTACGTACCTGTGAGAAAGGAACTCCCACAAGATGCTCGGGTAAATCAATTACAATCGAATCTATTCGTCGAACTACAAGGGACCGTGTAAAAGTTTTTGAGTGGTGGGGAAAGAAGCGTTTTACTGTCACGGAAAAGGGAAAATTTCAAGAATTTGTAATCGGTGATTTTCTGAGCCTTGAATTATTTTTAAATCAGTTGACTGGATGCTAGAATTCGAGGCAAGGGTTCATTTTCATGAGTTATCTTTCAATTTCTTTCGAAAAGCATCAAGTTACATTATTTTCTTTTTCTCTGTCGTGTGTCAATAAAATGATTGCCAAATGGCCTCCAGAAAATTCGAGTCGTTGAGGTTTGAGGGAGAAAACCTTCGAGTTACGGAGGTTTTTAATACAATACATTGCTCCTTCAGGAGAAATTAGACATGGGCTTGAAGAAGATCCACGTTTTGAATTTCTAGTTTTGTAGGTTCAGCTGTAAATTTTTCAAATGACGTCTCCATTTTGTTCGAATCATCAATTTCAGGACCCTGGTGTCACTCGGACTGGAGCCCTGCTGTTGAAAATAGACCACGAGCCGATTTTGAGAACTCCGCAATGGGTGAAGAAAACTGTGCAAATGCTGACCCCGGATCATCGTGAAGAAAAAGGAGAGGGACATCTTCCAGTAAAAGTCGCCTGCATAACGGTGTATGACGATCAGGCGACTTCGAATTGGTTGCA